GCCCCGTTAGGTAGGGATTAAAATCCAATTAAAATTGAAAATATGGTCGTTATTGGGTCCCACTCGTCTAATAAAAGTCAACAATAACGACTATATTTTCAATTTTAATCTGATTTTAATCCCTCCCAAACGAGCTCTAAAAATCACTTTCGACTTTCTCTCTTTTCACTCTCTCTACCTACTCCACCCCTCACTGTTCCCCACACCTACCCCTCATCTAGCTTCGAAACCCACCCTCATTCGACAGCGACAAGTGACAACAGCATCGCTGCGCAGCGAGGCGATGTTGCTGTTGGCCGAAGTAGCGCAGCATCGGAGTCCTGTTGTGCGACTGGTGCCTTGCTGCGTGCAGCGAGGCGGCGTTGCTGTAGTCTAAATCGGCAACATCGCCTCGATGCTTTTTTTGGAGTTTTTTATTATTCGATCTATTATAAGTGGTTTTTTGGTTGGTGAATTTCTGATTAGATCTACTGTGGGTAGCTTGTTGGTTGCTGTGGTGGTGGTGTGCAGTGATTTGTTGGTGTGCGGTAGTTTTTTATTTTTTTATTTTTTCAAATATTCTGTTAGTTGCATTGTAGTGGTGGCCTATAAAATTGGTCATAAACCATCCCGAGAAGTGCTAGTGGTACATTAGGGTTCACATATAGGTACACATAATACGTGACCAATTATTTGAGTTGTGAACAGTAAATTGAATATTTTGTGAACAATAAATAATATGTGATCTAAAAATTTAAGTCGTGACTTGTACATTTTTTTTTTTTTATCTATAATCTATAAATAAATTGTAAGCTATAAATTTTTTGATTTGTGACCGATAATAGATTGTGACTTATGAAATTTTTGATTTGTGATCGAATAGTATAGAATTGTGACTTTAATATATTTAATTAATAGAATATATGTTTAATTAATTATTTCATAAATAAAATTTGATTAACATCTAATTTTTATAATTTAAAACTTTGTTTCTTAATTCACCAGTATTTTGGGCCCGTAGATAAGCCCAAATGTACTGATTCTATTATAAGAACAATTCATAAATAAGGTATTTAAGTATCACAATTTCAAAATTAAGGATATAGGTTTTAAATTTCAAAAATCGGGTTTTCATTAAAATTTATTTAT